GGAGAAACATCAGTGTGAGAGACCTCGATTGCCTCCTGCATGCGCCCCGACCAGGGCCGGGGATCGAACCTGCAGCCCAGGTACATGCCCTCGACTGGGAACTGAACCCAAGACCCTTCAGTGTGCCAGGTGACGCTCTAACCACGGAGCTACCGGCCAGGCCAGGCTCTCTGACACCTGGTCCCGAGAGTAAGCGGCCACCCTGTCCCCCGGGCACCCCTTCTTGGGCTGAAGGCCTGGCGAGACTTTCTGAGACCCCCCGACGGGGTGTGTTTCCCCTTCGCTGCCATCTTCCCGCCAGCTCTGTCTCGCACGGGCCCGATGCGGAGGTGGGAGGCCTGCCCACAGCCCCCGCTGGCCATGTGGCTGGGCTGGGGGAGCACAGGTGTCCTCTGACCGAGTCCCCACGCCCTGCCCGTCAGGCAGGCAGCCGGGTTTTCCACCGAGAAGGCCGGGCCGGGCCCTCTGTGTAAAGGCCCGGTGGCCGCGGGCTGCGGGGAGTTGGCCAGGGCGCCTGGGTTTGAGGCTTCGAGCACGTTCCTTCCGGCCAGATGCTCCCAGAGTGGTGGACGCAGCCCCCTCTCCCTCGCAGGCCACGGTGCAGATCGGGAACCAGCTCCCGGGGCTGAAGATGCGCAGCGTGGTCGTGGGCGGTGTGTCCGAAGACAAGGTCTCGGTGCACCGGGGCTTCCGGGGCTGCATGCAGGTAGGCAGGGGGCGGGCGCCACCCGCCGGCTCGGGGTGCGTGCCCCCCCGGGGCCCCTGGTCACCTGCCAGCTGTCAGTCGGCCGGTCTTTTGTCTGAGAGCCGACCGACCTTCACAAACCCCGTTCCCAGCTTGCCCCCGAGATAAATGAAACAAGGAGCCAGACAGAGCTGGGGCTCCTCACCCTCCAGAGACCTCCTGGGGTTCCTCCAGCCCCGAGGCCCCGGGACCGAGTCCTGCTGCCCTTTCTTAACGCAGGGAGTGAGGATGGGGGAGACGGCCACCAACATCGCCACGCTGAACATGGACGATGCCCTCAAGGTCAGGGTGAAGGACGGCTGTGACATGGGGGACCCCTGCGCCTCCAGCCCCTGCCCTCAGCACAGCCACTGCCGAGACGCTTGGGACGGCTACGCCTGCGTCTGCGACAAAGGTGAGTGCCCCTCCCCGAAGCCTGATGCCCGATGCCCCTCAGCCGGGGGCGATGCCTGTGGTGTTTAAGTGCATTGCGGACAGTGGAGCGGGGGCCTTGGCTTCCCCGTCAATTCTCTGGGTGCCTGGGGAGCCCTGAACTTTGGTTTGTGACTAAGGAGTGGGCCCTGGCCCTCTCTTCGTTCTTTAATTCCCATCTGAGGATATTTTCTCCATTGATTTTTCAGAGAGGGGGAAGGGGGGAGGGAGAGAAGCATCGATGTGCGAGAATCACATCGACCGGCTGCCTCTTACGTGGCCAGGTCAGGGCCGGGGGTTGACCCTGCAACCCAGGTACGTGCCCTTGACCGGGCATCGAACCTGAGAACTCTTGGTGAGCTACCCACCCTCCGGCCACTGAGCAGCACCAGCCAGGCTCGGCCACCTCTTCTTAAATGCATTCTCTGTGTCTCTTTGTCACTCGGGCAGAGGGGACCCTCCAGGCTTCATCCCCGGGGGTCATGATGAGCTGAGAGAGAGAGTTAGGGAGAAGTACACATTTTAAAACTGTAGATCCAGTGTTTCCCTCTGAATTTTGAGGTGCTGTGGCCGTGCTCAGCGGGTACCATCCACCGCGTGTCCTGGGGAGGCCGGAACCCTCTGCCCTGTGGCTCCCGCCCTCCCCGGCGATGCCTGGGAAGCCCTCTTGTCTGTCTGTCCGTGTCTGACCCACCGAAAGCTTGTGTTTGCCGTGACTCCCCCCGAGGAACCTGGAAGGCCGAGTCTGGGGGAGGACAGTGGCCGCGATGTCTCAACATGGGGGCCTGGCTCCGGGAGGGGGGCCAGCGGCTGGCCCTGGGACGGGGTTGAGGCCGGCCTGTCCCCACAGGGTACTTCGGGAGGAAGTGTGTGGATGTGTGTCACCTGAACCCCTGCGAGCACACGGCGGCCTGCGTGCGCAGCCCGGGCGCCCCTCAGGGCTACGTGTGTGAATGTGGGTCCAGCCACTACGGGCCGTACTGCGAGAACAGGTAGGGACCCACTCGCGTCGCCACCGCTTCACGTGCCCGCAGCTGCTGCTCCTGACAGCTCCTCCTCCTGGTGACTTAACCCGAAATACATATGACTCTGGGCTAAGGACCTTTTTAAAATTTTTATCATCTTAGAGAGAGAGGAAGGGAGAGGGGGAGAGAGAAACATCAATGATGAGAGTCGTCAGCGATCGGCTGCCTCCTGCTCGGCACCCCCCGGGGATCGAGCCCGAAACCCGAGGGAATCGAACGGCGACCTCCGGGTTCCTGGGTCTCTGCTCAAACGCTGAGCCACGCGGGCCGGGCAAGGATATATTTTTATTTTTCAAATTTGGCACCAAATAAAAGAGAGTCAAATCGAACGTCCCAAACCAACCCCGCCTGAGCCCGTTTCCTCTGCGGAAACATGCACACAGCTCGTTCACCTCGGGCCCCGTGCTCGACCCGGGCGGGCAGAGGTGGGCTGACGGGACCGGCGGTGGCCTGCGCCCGGGAGGGGTGCGCCTGGGCTCATCACCCTCGAGGCCACTCATCTCGGGGCCTGCAGGGGCCGGCTTATGAGGCGGGCCTGGGTGGGTCAGGCGATTCTGAGCCCACCGGGTCCAGCCCGTGGCCACACGGAGCTAACGGAGGCACGTGTCACACCCCCGGAGAGGCTGCTCTGAGCATCCACGGGGCTGTGGCCAGCATTTGTCCCTGGGGACCTGGGGGCCACTTATGCTCAGAGCCCTGCTCAGCATCTTGGAGCTGGTGACGCCGGGTCCTGGGAGAAGCGGGCCCGGGGCAGCCGGGCTCCGTGTGCTCGTGGGGTTGGGGTTGTGGACGGTCAGTGAAGTGGAGTCAGTTGTCGCTGAGCCCCGTGATCCAGACGTCATGGGTGGGTGCCGGGCAGAGTGAACATGGAGGTGTCATGCTGATAGCTAGCCTGGGGTGGGACACTCACCTGCATCCACCAGGTAGAAGAGAACAGTATAAAATTCTTTCAAAATAACAGTTCTGGTGGTAGAACCCTTCCAGACGTGGGGCCCCCAAGGCTGGGATCAGGACACGAAATTCTAGGAGGTGGGGGCAGTTCTAGGGGTGGGGGCAAGCAGGGG